GGCGAGAATGGAGGGTGAGGAAGCTCTTCGAACCCACATTGTCGCGCAGCAGCCTTTGCAAGTCGAGAGGTGTGAGAAGAGGCATCGTCATGAAGTAGTCGAACTCCAGCAGTCAGCATTCAGCGCCACTTTTCTTTGATATAATCTCTCAGGCGATGAAGCAAATAAGCATAGTAGGAAACGGTAATCGTCTTTTCATTTTCTGAGTGAGTGTGAGTGAGTGAGTTCAAGTTTAGCGTCACATCGGCAATATTTCAGTCATAGCGTGACGAAACAAAATTTGACATTAACATTACATATTAAATTGTATAAAATTCTGCCGACGAAGGACAGTATAATAACTAGAATATCACAGATTTTCATAAAACTAGTTTGAGAACATGTAAAAATAGAAACTAACCATTCGACAACACATAAAAACGGGCTATAGATCGCCACCAACTGAAGGTTGATCACTGCGCTGGGGACCATGATGACTTACAGTCGGATTTACATCATCCCTTCAGTTGTTGGCGATGGCTGACAAATTTAGCCAAACATTAAAATAACACATACGCTACGACTAAAACGTGGAAGAAACAAATATACTTTGAAAGACGTGGTCTTACATATCCTCTCAGGGGGACAATAATTTTACACTACTTTCACCCCTTTCGAGGATACAGCCACTAACAATCTCAGTCACTGATTTATTCAACTAATTAATATATGAATTTATGTATTTGCAAAACATAATCAAAATTTATGGATCAACTGAATTTCTTTTAAAAAACCCAGAATTTAACGAGAACTTACCTGAGTTAAAAGATCCTTGATTCCTGAAACTTTAAAATATTGATCCCTTGTGATGAAAAATCAGTGCAGTCAAGCAGAACATGCTTGACCATGATTCCTTCATCACAAGGGATGCAGAATGGAGGATCATCACCTTTCAATAAATGTTAATGTGGATATCGAGAATGGCCAATACGAAATCGTCTTAATACGACCTCTTCAAATCTGGACTGACAACCCAAGTAGGTATAACCGATATTTGCTTTTATTGTATGTAATCTATTTATACCCACTGGGGTGTCCCACTTCTTCTGCATTAGGTTTCTGATGAAACATCTAATAACAGGTTTATAATCACTATGGGGTATAAGGCGTGGTGTCAAAGATTTGTTGAGTGCCGCCTTAGCAGCATCATCAGCCACTGTGTTACCAATGATGCCAACATGACTGGGTAACCAACAAAACAAGCTATGTGCCCTTTGATGGCTCACGTCGGACACATCCGTGTCCTCAAAGGATCAAAACTTATAAAACATCTGGATCTTGTTTTCCGCCCCTTTTGAGGCTCTGCCACTTTGATACTTTTTAGATTGTTCGGTTTGGGGTTTGGATTTGTTTTTTTGAAATTTGTTTGACAGTTATTTCTGATTTAGATTGTTCGGAAACATTTTTTGATGACTGGTCCTGAGATAAAGCTGCATCCTTATCACAAGATGCCATGGATTGAGTAAATACCTGTGACGTTTGGAGCTGGAGTTTTCTTGTTGTTGTCTCACCTGAATTGCTGCAGATAGTAACGTTGGACCAGAGGTTTTAGCCCACGTGTAATCGGTCTGGCACGCTATGGATTGACATGAAACATGTTTAGGCTTGGAAACCTGCAGAGAAGCAGAAACAGCAGTCGGGCCTGCTTGTTCCTGAGCGAGAACAACTTTTTTTTGCTTCGAAAAATAAGAGATGTTCTGTTCATACTTTACCTTTGAAATTTTGGATTGCAGTTTCCAGGTAGGACATTCTTTTGAAGAAGATGGATGGTTGCCAGAGCAAATTAACACAGCGAGGAGGTTTGCCACAGAGATTACTGTTTTTGCATGTTCCAGCATATCGATGACTTCGAGCCATGGCTATACTTTTGGCATGAGTAACACCTCAAGGGATTTGGAAAAAATGTATCTACCCTTAAGCTGCAACAGCCAGCTTTAATTGATTCTGGGCGCACCGGAAGACAAAATGTGAACAGATATGTATTGGTGTTGGTGATTTCATTGTTTCTTTTTGCTGTAAAACGTTTGACAGCAGTAACTCCTTGGGAGTGCAACTCTGTCACAATGACACTTTCATTCATGTCTGCAAGGCATCTATCGATATCACGAACAGTGCCTTTACTACAAATAAGTGTCCTGTGAGTGTCCACCTAGTGTCCTGTGTCCACCAAGTGATTTGGTGGAAAGGAGAACTTGAGACTGGATTTGTTTTTTTGCATTGGATCAGAACCAGATCGTAACTTTTTTACTTCCTTGACTTCACCAACTAAACCTTCAATACTCTTTGATATAGCAAATGGATTCAGTTTTAGTGGATCTCCATTTGGAGCAGACAAGAAAACTAGACCAAGCATCAGGATTGGTGAAAGATTGTGGAAAATCTTCATCCCCAGAGGATAACGAATGAGACGTCCTAGCTCCCCACCCACATCTGTGGATCTCCAACAGACGGCACCAAGGATACCAGGAGGGTATACTCAAGCAGAAGTACTAATCAAAAGATCAATAAATCCACCAGATTGGCCCATGAGCACCACCTTCTGCCACTGGCATCTAGGCAAATTTTGAATTTATCAAGTAGTGTAAAAATCAATATACGTGTATATTCAAACAGTTCTGTTATAAACAGACTTCCAAACCAAATAATGAAAGAGAGCATGAAAAGTAAAGTGCTCAGGGCTTGGCATGACCAGCCGATTGATAGATTCGGGCCCATTCTAGCACCCGTCTATGCAAAGTTAGGGCCAAAGTGGTGTGTTGGGTGGGTTAAGGAACACTATTGCCGGCTCCGGCACCCTCAACCACCAGACTACCTTTCTCTGCCGACACAGGGACGCAACCCACGGCAAACAGGCTGCCCAATTTGGTCGCCTTTCACGACCAGCAATGAGGTGCTGAGGACGTATTCTACGCCGGGTCCACACGGGGGAAGAGCTATTAGCGTTACCAAACACTCACCACGGGGAGGTTGCTCTTCACGAGTGCCACCCTTTCTAAGTAATCAACAAGGATCACATCATTTGCATCCCAGAAACAGTGTCCATAACTTTCTTCACTGATCTGGAAGACTTGAATTTCTATGGTGCCGGAGAAGTGGAATGGTGCTATTCCATGGACTGATGTCGTTTTGACTCATAGTGGTAGACCCATGTTTCATCACCTGTTACTAATATACTGAACCGCAAAAGAAACGTCACCCCAAGTGACATTGCATGAAAAGTTGTCATTTAAATGTCTGAGTATATTTTGTCAAAGTTTCTTAAATTTAACATTACCTTGTACGGAAAAATAAATTTTGATGATAAAAAAACAAAGCAGATGACAATAAAACCGATCGTCCAAAAGCATCACAGCAACGGCCATGGTAACCACATGCACGTGAGTTCCGTGTAAATTGAAATGCACATGTGTTCCCCCATTTCATGGCCTATAAAAATCCACCCAGATCGGATAACATTCATTCGTTATTGAATTGCTACCACAATATTGACAAGAAATCAGCAACACCAAGCCCTTGGACGATTGCAAGCTGGACAAACCGCCCGGCAAGTAGCCAATGCATTTCAAGTCCACGTAAGGACCATATACAGGCTCCAGCAACGGTACCAGACCACCAACACTACAGATGACCGACCACGTAGTGGAAAACCAAGGGTCACCACCCGACGTCAGGATCGTCAGATTGTGCGACAGCATCTTCAAGATCGCTTTGTTACTGCTGCGGAAACGTCTCGACAGAGCATGCGGACACACCAGCGACACATTAATGCAGACATCGTGGCATCAATATACGTGCAGAAAACACGCTGTTAGACTTTACAGAGGACAGTTATTGACAGTTATTGTGATATAACGGATCTTACATTGCTAAGTGCATCAAATCACGTGAGCACCTTGATTATAAACATGAAAAGATTTGGAAAATATGTTGACACCGAGTTGGCGGTGCACATGCTTTGCAAATCCTGCAATCGACCAAAATCTGCATTACAGTTTACGAACCGGATTTCGATTTCGGTGCGCGATTTTGATTTGACTATGCATAGACTCGTCAGTCCAGCCAAAATCTAACTCAATAATCCCAGCCTAGTTCGGCAAGGGTGGAAACTGGATTTTTATATTCAGTCACATCTCTTGCCTCGGGAAGATTAACATCGTCGTCAGAGATTGAGATGAGCCCTGACCATACGTCGTTGGCAGGGACGCATCTTCCCGAGGCAAGGACGTCAACTGACTATAAAAGTCCAGTTTCCTCCCTTGTCGAATAATCTGGAATTTATGGACTCGATCGTAGCCCCACCAGTGGCTGTTACTAGTTATGACCCTTCTATTTCCCTCCTATTGATCATTATGATTCCACCCCTCGTATCACTTGTATTTGCTTCAAACAAATGGCGGCGCCCAGTCAAGACGAGCTGATCGATAATCACGATCTATATTGTAATAAAACGGGCCTTACCGCGATAAGTGCATCAAATCACTTGAACACCTTGATTAAAAACATGAAAGAATTTGCAAAACATCTGTCAAATCTCAGCTGGCGGTTCAATGCTTTGCAAATCCTGCATTCGACCGAAATCTGCATGTTGAAATCCATGTTGTCTGGTTCGTTATGTGATTTTGATTGGACTATGCAAAGACTCGTTAGTCCAGCCAAAATGTACCTCCAGAGTTCCGGCCTACTTCGCCCGGAACTAGACTTCTATGGCCAGTTAAAGCCCTTGCCTAGGAGAGATGGCAGTGACGTGAATGGAAGAGGGTTGTTGAAAGCCGGTTCTCTCTGTTCAGAGCGGATGGAAGACAGCGTGTTTACCGCCGAAGGGGAGAACGAACGGCGGCATATTGCGTTCAGTGGTGGACGCTATGGTGGAGGGGGTGTTAAGGTGTAGGGAGGAATTTGTAAGCAGGCGAGAACTCCACTGTTCATCGTTAACGGAAATATGACAGCTCAGCGTTACATGGATGACACTCTTCGTCCGATTGTCCTACCATTTCTACAACATCTGCCTCGTGGTGTGTTTTATCAGCACGACAACGCCAGAACCTACACAGCCCGTATTGTACAGAACATCCCTTGCAGCCAACAACGCCTTGGCCTGCACGCTCCCAAGACATGTCCTCCATCCCTTTGGGATGTCATGGGTCGTGTATTCGACAGCGAACATCCTCCAGCCAACCGACAAGAACCGATCTATACCCTTCGAGAAGAATGGCAACGTATCCCACGTGACGTCACTAGACAACTGACTTTGTCTGTGTGCACCAGAGAGTTCTTGCGTGTCTTGTGGCAGAGGGTGGTCATACACGCTATTATTGTGACGTGTGGATTTGAGATCCATGTGCCTTGTCCATTACCTTGAAAGCTTGTTTTTGCTACCCCACCTCAATTCTGACAACTGTCATGCACATATCGGATGCTATATGACTGTCATTTTAAATATTGACTTCCTTGCAATTTCGATCTTTTCAATAAATTATACTTCATGCATCTATCTTTTGTGGGTTTTTTTTTAACTAGAGTGATTTTAACCTATCGCCGTCAGTCTACATCTCGGATAATAATATTCATAACAATACACAGAGACTGAGACGAGTCTAGAGTACTCGTCATGGCCCCATGGTGGACAGTGGGTCATCTCATCACAAGGGCGGTCGGGTAGCCTAGTGGTTAAAGCGTTCGCACGTCACGCCCAAGACCCGGGTTCGATTCCCGACATGGGTACAATGTGTGAAGCCCATTTCTGGTGTCCCCCGCCGTGATATTGCTGGAATATTGCTATAAGCGGCGTAAAACCATACTCACTCACCCATCTCATCACAGCGTCTTACCACCAGCTCGAAACAGTGCCACAAAAAAACGATCAGATAAAGGAATATGCTCCGGTGGCTGACCAAGCGCGGACGTACTCTCATATGGTTTTCTTCCATGTCTGATACCAGATAGTCTAACCGGTTTACGTAATGACACGTGTCTTAAATCAAAATACATGTGGCATCACCTTTTCCTCCTATCCGATACATTCCTTCGGGATCGTTGACGTCAAAGAGCGGTTGCCATGGTGAGCTATGAAACCACATTTTTCTGACCACCTTTATCGCTGTTTTATATCGAACACATGCTTTATGCTTAAAAAATAATACCACGGCTTCCAGTTTTATATTTCTATGCACATTAACTCACTTGATAAAAACGGACAACGAACAGTATTGCCTACAAGCTGGCCGATAACGTCTCCATACTCCGTGAGGATATTTTCAGGTGGCGTTCCAACATGTTCGTCAGTCGATCTTTGTTTGGCGTGTTCAGCATGTTTGGTCGATAAATGACAAATCAATTTCTTAAGTGTGTTGCGTGGGTAGATCAATTGCAAGGAAGATCACTGTACACCATGGCACCTTGCTCTAAATGTGACTTTGATAACGTTCTCCTTGTTCAACCAGAGAATGTCTCGCATCGGTAACTTCAAAAGTTGGCGTCACTGATTGGATTCGTGTGTTTCCGTGATCCCGATGTATTCTCCTGTCATTCGTGAAAACAATAGCTATTTCTATTTTCTCGATATTGCTTGTACCGATACGTGTCAAGGATGCCACTGACCCTTGTATTGTACGTTTATATGATGATTAAATTTTGCAATGTTCAAACAATATCACGGCGGGGGAAACCACCAATGGGCTTCCAATTATTCCCATGTGCGGAATCGAACCCGGGTCTTTTGGCGTGACGAGTTAACGCTTTAACCACTTGGCTTCCCCAACTGAAGAGCCAGTTCATGCAATAGAGCCTTCTTTATTCTGAAACCTTAACTGAACTATTCAACCCAACTGGTGAACTGGGGTTTAACGCCGCGTCCACATGCACGTGTGTGTGTGTGTGTGTGTGTGTGTGTGTGTGTGTGTGTGTGTGTGTGTGTGTGTGTGTGTGTGTGTGTGTGTCCACTCAGACACAGTATACCGACTCCGAGCCGACCAGTCCTTGTTTTAGCCCCTTAATGCCGAGCACCAGACAAGGTAACAACAAATACGTCTTTTGGTATGACGCGGCCGGGGATCGAACCCCGGACATTCTGCACTCCGGGTGGACGCCTTACCACTAGACCACGGAGGCGGTCCTCCAATAATAGGACCTCACAGCGGTTTTGTTTCGATTGCTAACCAAATACGCACCACGTACTCACTAGTTCACCCACATATTCATTCACTGACCGCCTCAGTGATCTAGTGGTAGAGTGTATGTACGGAGAGCGGAAGGTCTGGGGTTCGATCCCCGGCCGCGTCCTACCAAAAGACGTTAAAAGACTGTACTTGTTGTTACTCTGACTATATTCATGTTAAACTGCGGTATGGTATCTCAGTGGGCTAGCACTATAAAGTCACGCAAGCACGCACGCACGCACGTACGCACGCACGCACGCACGCACGCACGCACGCACGCACGCGTATTAAGTGCAATAATCTTGAACGCGACGTTAACTCCCATTTCACCTCGCCATCTGATCTCATTCACTCACTCTCTGTAAATAAATCCTTCATTCACTCTCTAGACCCGGGTTAGAATAGACATTCAGCAACCCATGCTTGCCGTAAAAGGCGACTATGCTTGTCGCTGACATTGTTGATGCATGTCATCGATCCCAATTGCCTGAATCGATGCTCATGATATCAATCACTGGATTGTCTGGTCCAAACTAGATTATTTACAGACCGCCGTCATATAGCTTGAATATTGCTCAGTTCGGCGTAAACAACAAACCAACCAACCAACCATTATTCGTTACCTCACTCACTCACTCACTCATTCACACCATAGCGAAATATCTTCAACTTAATTTCATTTGGACATACTGAGTGAGTGAGTTAGGGTTAACGCCGCTTTTTACTGTATTCCAGATATATCACCGCATGAATGCTTAATGTGGGAGGAACGCCCGAAGTGATGCAGGTCAAACCCATGCAAAGTCAAGTCAATTTTTTACATGAAAAAACACGGGAACATATAGTACAAGCCAAAATTGTGAATTACATCGGTCATCATTTTTGTCACTGATGCGTTATAAGTTAGAATAGGTCTTCAGCAACCCATACTTGTCGTAAGAGGCGACTAACAGGATCGGATGGTCAGGTTCTCTGACTTGGTTGATACATGGCATCGTATCCCAATTGCGTAGATCAATGCTCATGATGTCAATCACTGGATTGTCTGGTCCAGACTTGATTATGTATATACCGCCGTCATATAGCTGGAATATTGCTGAGTGTGGCGTTAAACAAGAAACAAACAAACAAACAAACAAACAAATCATATTGATTGAAACCATGATGTAATTTCATTTTCTGATTAGCATTGCTGTTGATGAAGTAGATTTCCATGTACACACCTTCCCCTGTTTGAACCATCCTCGACCCGTAGAGTAGGTCTTCAGCAACTCATTCTTGCCGTAAAAGGCGACCATGCTTGTTGTAAGAGGCGACTAACGGGTGGTCAGGCTCGCTGACTTGGTTGATGCATGTCATCGTATCCCAATTGCGTGGGTCGGTGTTCATGATATCAATCACTGGATTGTCTGGTCCAGACTCTATTATTTACAGACCGCCGTCATATAGCTGGACTATTGCCGAGTGCGGCGTTAAACAACTGTTAAACAACAATTTAAATGTGTTTCTATGGCACGCTTCATATACATCACTCTACATGATCTGCGGCTGCAATTAAGTGAGTTTGAGTTGATAAATCTGTCATATTAAATATAACGACTTCCTGTATAAACTCCCCCAAAAACTGATTGTTTAGAAATAACATTAACAGGTTGCTTGCTATATAATTGAACCTACTTGGTTCCAAAAACAACGTCTGGATCTTGGTTTAATGAAGTAGCGGCCGACGTCAGTTTCGTAAATATCGCCGTGTCAACTGTCATGGCTGATCGTGTTTCCCACATTGCAATCACTTTTTATCGTATTTACAGACAAATGGTTTATTAGATTTCCCTATATACACTCAAGAGAATGGCATCATGCCATCATTGGATTTGTTAATATGTGCAGATCCAACATCTGTGCCAATATATCTTTACACCATTTTTCTTACGTATATTCTTATGGAATTGAATTGGAGTAATGCAAGCCCGTTGCGTACAATCTGACTCAGATTTGGTTCGTATTTTTCATATCAAAAGTAATTCTATTGAAAATATATACTGAACCGCATCCAGTCTGTATATCCAGCCCAGCCGCCAGATAGCTGGAATATCGGCATTAGTCCGGACTAGTACAAGCAGACACACGCACACACAGACATGCATGCAGGTCGCGACGCTAAACGTCATTTCACTTCCAGTTGATCCTGGCACGGAAAAGGGTACTCTCAAAGAAGACCCGGGTAAGAATTGGTCTTCAGCAACCCATGCTTGTCGTATCAGGCTCGCTGACTTGGTTGATGCATGTCATCATATCCCAAATGCCCGGATCGATGCTCCTAATATCAATGACTAGATTGTGTGGTCCAGACTCCATTATTTTCAGACCGCCGTCCCATATCTGGAATATTGCTGAGTGCGGCGTTAAACAACAAGCCAACCAACTGTATTTCCTGCACACGTATCCCGCCTGTTTGTCCTGCCCGGAGCCCTACTGGATGCTGTCTACAGAGGATGCGGCAAAAGAACACACGGTTTTACCTGCTTGCCTGAAGCCTGATGGTTGAAAGGCTTTGTTTGTTTGTTGTTTAACGCCGTACTCATCAATATTCCAGATATGGGACGGCGGTCTGAAAATAATGGAGTCTGGACCAGACAATTTAGTCATTGATATTAGGAGCATCGATCCGGGCAATTGGGATATGATGACATGCAACAACCAAGTCAGCGAGCCTGATAAGACAAGCATGGGTTGCTGAAGACCGATTCTTACCCGGGTCTTCTTTGAGAATACCCTTTTCCGTGCCAGGATCAACCGGAAGTGAAATGGCGTTTAGCGTCGCGACGTGCATGCACGTCTGTGTGTGCGTGTGTGTCTGCTTGTACTAGTCCGGACTGATGCCGATCTTATTGTGCTAGCCCACTGAGATCCCATGCCGCAGTTTAACATAAATACACCACTCAGACACAGTATACTGACTCCGAGCCGACCAGTCCTTGTTTTAAACACTTTAAGCAGATGCCCGTCATGGTATCAACAAGCACCATCTTTTAACGTCTTTTGGTATGACGCGGTCGGGGATCGAACCCCGGACCTTCCGCTCTCCGGGCGGACGCTCTACCACTAGACCACGGAGGCGGTCCGACTTGTTGTGGTTCGAATGCAATATTCGGTCTAATAATGTTCCCTGGTCTGTCAGCACTCTTCCCGTGTTCTTAAATTTCACTGAAGAGGGAACGGTCCGGGTTGACCATAGCTTCTCTCAACTATATATATCCTGTACCCTGTTTCATCATTCAGTCCTGCTTGACAACGGTGTAAGGATCTATACCGAAACGTCGCCTTCACAGTTATTAAAGAGGTTGTTATCCATAAATTGTGTCTACTTTGTCATCCGTCAGCTTCTAAGTAATGCCTATTAAACAATTCAACAAGAGCATCACCAGGAGAAGAATGTTTTAGCTGTTGTGTGGTTGGGCCAATTCAAGGATTACAATGGCGAGGTTTGTTAGTTCTCTCATTTCAAGGAAAATAAGGGTTTAGTTGTTCCATGTTCAAGAACTGTAATAGCGACAGTATGTTTATCTCTCTCATCACCCACGTTCCTTAGTAGCCATTACAGGTTCTACCAAATCAGAACCAGTTGGGACAGTGCGGTTTTCGTAGAGCCTTCGGTGCAGATCGAGAGATATCTGCAGGCTGTGATTGGAGGATATTCTGTAAGATTTTTATGTCTTTTAATTGTACATCCATCCAGTTATTAAAACTTACCATGTTTTTCTATATTTAGTACTGTCTTTTTCAACATACTGAGTTATGCTGAATGTGACCACAGCTATTTTCAAGTAGGTGACATTTGGTGCGAAACTGGGGGTGGTGTGTCTAGCTTCCTGTACTCGGAAAAGGAGCTGGCTAAGCTAGTCATTTTTTATGTTTTTATTGCTGCTCTAAGGCCAAACTGTGCACACACGTACAGGTAATAGCTGTTGAATGCTTAGTTATTTAAAAAAAATATGACGTTACAATAGAAGTCTATGGGAAACATTTGGTTGCGTGTAACCTAAAACCTGGAGATAAAACCGTCCTTTGTCCGTACTAAGGTTTTCCCGTGTACCATGCTGATTGTTCCATTCCGTACAATAAATCGCGATGTGTGCTACGCCAAACTATGGAACACCCAGAGATGTAGCTGGACGGGTTGTTACTGCACATCTACCGTCATATGATCCATGTACATTACAGCGTGTGTTGACGTCAGTAGGGTTGGAATACATATCGATGCAGATTACACTACCGTAGACGTGAGACGGGATTAATATA